TGCTCTCCCCCCATCCCACTGCCCCCAGTCTCAGCCCCGTTGCCCCCCAACCCCAGCAGGATCCCCGGAGCTGGAGAAGCTGTGCCGGGCTCGGGATCAGTGCCGGGACATCCTGAGGAACGTGAACGAGGCCGTGAAACGGGCGGAGAACCGGCACCGGCTCGAGGGCTACCAGAAACGCCTGGACACCACCCCCCTGGAGAGGACCAGCAACCCCCTGGCTGCCCAGTTCAAGGTCCCCCTGGGGCCCTGGGGGTGGTTGAGGGTCTGGCTGGTCCCAGAGCAGCCTTTTCCATGGTCCTGGTTGTCCCTGCACAGAACCTGGATCTCACCTCCCGGCGCATGATCCACGAGGGGCCCCTCACGTGGCGCGTGGGCAAGGACAAGACTGTGGGTATGGAGCTTCCCCCCCGGCCTGCTGGGAGCACTGGGAGCACTGGGAGCACTGGGAGATGCCCCTTGGCGTCCTCAGGGACGGGGGTGTTTCACCTCCAGGAGAAAGGACCCCCTTTCTCCCCCCTTTTCCACCGCAAGGAGGGAGGTCCCGCTCGGCTCACGGGCACGTCCCCGGGTGATCCCACCACGATCCCACCACTTTGTGTCCCTTCTGCCGCCCCCCAGACCTGCACGTGCTGCTCCTGGAGGACCTGCTGGTGCTGCTGCAGAAGCAGGATGAGAAGCTGGTGCTCAAGTGCCACAGCAAGACGGCGCTGGGCTCCTCGGACAACAAACAGACCTTCAGCCCCGTCCTCAAGCTCAACTCGGTGCTCATCCGCTCCGTGGCCACGGGTAGGGATGGGGAATCCTGGGATTGAAGGGTAGGGATGGGGAATCCTGGGAATGAGGGGTGGCTCGGGGTGGGAGGGACCTTAAAAGTCACCCAGGCCAAGGGCAGGGACACCTCCTGCTAGACCAGATTGCTCGGAGCTCCATCTGGATTGCTCCGAGCTCCATCCGAAATGTCCTTGGGCACTTCCAGGGATGGGGCAGCCACGGCTTCCCTGGGCAGCCTGTGCCTCCCTCACAGGGAAGGATTTATCCCTAATGTCCAATCTAAACCATCCTGGAATGGTTTGGGGTGGGAGGGACCTTTAGGATCACCCAGACCTCAGGCAGGGACACCTTCCAGATACCCCGGGATGCTCCAAGCCCCGACCCACACTTCCAGGGATGGGCCATCCGTGGGATAACCTGTGCCAGGGAGGTACCCCTGCTGTGCCCTGACCTTCTTCCCTCCTGGCATCCCTTTCCCAGATAAAAGGGCCCTTTTCATCATCTGCACCTCGGAGCTGGGACCCCAAATCTACGAGCTGGTGGCCCTGACGTCCTCGGAGAAAAACACGTGAGGCTCCACGGGGATGGGATGGGAAAGGGGCTTCCCTGGGGGGGCAGGAGACCCCCTTGGGGAGCTGATGGGGGTCTCTGGGCCTGGCAGGTGGATGGAGCTGCTGGAGGAGGCCGTGCAGAGTTCCACCAGGAATGCCACCTTCCCCCCGAAGCGCCGGACGGCAGAGCCCGCTGGCACGGCCCCCGCGGGGTGAGGGGCTGCTCCGGGGGGCTGGGGGCTCCACAGGGGGGTTGGGAGGGGGACAGGGGTCCTCCCTGGTCGTTGGGGACATGGGGGTGGCTCTCAGGGCTCTGGGGACCTGCTCTGTGCCATCCCGGGGTTCCTGCTTCCCTCGCTGGGATTGGGGATGTGAGCCTGGAGGATCCACAGGGGGGTTGGGGTGGGGACAGGGGTCCTCCCTGGATCCAGAGGGGGGTTGGGATGGGTTCAGGAGTCCTCCCTGGTCCCGGGGGGACACGGGGGTGTCTCTCAGGGCTCTGACTCCCGATCTGAGGGGGTGAGCCCCCTGATTCCAGCTGGGAGCAGGTCAGGGAGAGCAGGGGAGCTGCCCCTTGCTGGGCTCAGGGCTCTCATCCCTTGCCCTTCCCTGGATTTGGGGGGTCTCCCTCCCAGTCCCTGGCCGTGTTTGGGGAGGGTCTCCCCCCTGGGGGTGTCCCCCCCTGCTCCCACCTCCTCCCCAGCACCCCTCTGTGCCCCAGGCTGGTGCTGCAGGACCCCGACGTGTCCCCGGAGCTGTCCCGGGGCTCCGGAGCGGAGCTGGAGCCGGAGGATTGTTCCTCGGGTGAGGATTGTCCCTGCTGCCACCTCCCTGTCACCTCCCCTGTCACCTCCCCTGCCACCTCCCTGTCACCTCCCCTGTCACCTCCCCTGTCACCTCCCCTGTCACCTGGGGGGGGACACGGGGTCAGCCCTCCCTCTTCCCTGTCCCAGGGAACTCCTCCCTCCCTTTGCTCTGCCAGGGATGGCACCTGGAGCTCATCCCTCCCTTTCCCATCACACATGGAGCTGTTCCCTCCCTTTCCCTGTCCCCTGGAGCTGATCCCTGTCTTTTCCCTCTCCCCTGGAGCTGATCCCTGTCTTTTCCCTCTCCCCTGGAGCTGATCCCTGTCTTTTCCCTCTCCCCTGGAGCTGATCCCTGTCCTT